CAATTTATAATTTCACATAAATTCAATTGATGAAATTACAAAGTCCAAATAACAATAGATGATGCAACAATATATGCTTTTATACTGTTTTAATGTTGATGTTGAAAATGGTTATTTTAACGTTGGAAAATCCTTTAATACTGTTTAAAATTGGGTTTGACAGCGTAGTTTTTTATAGCATGATGTTCCCAGTTTTTCGAAGGGCGGTTTTGAGATCGTAGTTTTTTTATAGTATGATGTTATCAGTTTTTCGAAGGGTTGTGAGTCAAGGTAGCAAGAGAGAGCACCTCGTTTACTGAGTAACTTGGTTATCAAATGCAAGGTGTGGGTTAAGGTTGGTTATCAAAGGCAAGGTGTGGGTTAAGGTGTTAGGTGCTGCTTCAAATGGCCAAATCACATATTTTAAAAAAATATGGCCAAGTCTATTTTCAAATGGCCAATTCGATTTTGAAATGGTCAAATCTCATTTATTCAGTAATCTTTTGAGTTGGGTTTTAACAAAAAAAAAATTATATAAGATGGCAACTTTAAAATGTAGAATTAAGATGCATATTTAAAAAAAAAGTGCAATCAATGCTAGAATCAACAATTGAAGCATATGAGGTTGCATCGATCTTGGATACTTGACAGAAGGTATTGTTCTATCTACGAACTTCACCTTCACCGAGCGTGGGTTTCTTTCAACAATTTTTTTCTTTCTATCCGGAATTTCTCGTAAGGATGGAAGTGGTAAGTAAAAAAGAATCAAATAGCACTATCTCTGTAATAGGTAAATACTTATTTTTCTCGAAGCCTATTGGCTATAATTTAAGAGGTCTTATTGATAAAATTGCTATTTATCTGAGATCTAGGCATATTTAGCAATCCACTTTACTTAATAATTCTTCTCATTTTCCCTCGAGGAAACTAATCCCATAAACAAGGGAATTGTAGGCTCTAAACAATCAAATTAAAACTTACTTTCAAATAGTGTTCAGAAATATGGTTTCAATATTAAAAATCTTTGTGATAGCCTTAAAATACATTTTCATTTTTATTTATAAAGTTTAAAGCTTTAAAAATAGTGTAGATTGCCAGATCTATGAAAACTTGAAAATTAACGATCAAAAAATGCATTACAAAATACACTATTTTCAAATTTTGAAATCCATTTTATTCTCATATCCATGCATCTTGATGTTGAGATGATCAATTTGATGATATTTGGGCATCAAAACAACCTCTTCTAGTGAAATTTTTTAGGTAGGTTCAAATTTGATTGTTTGGAGCCTCGGCTCTATATAAACTTTTCCCTTAAAAAAAACAAGGTTAATTTTTTATCCATTTCAGCATGTGGAAACATGAGAGATAAGTAAAACATTTTTTAGTTTCTACCTCTTTTCTTCATAGAGGCTAATAAATAGATTTAAGGAGTATGAAGTTGCAACAAATGATAGATAGCTTGTAACAAATAAAAAAACAAATTAGAAGAAAATGTCACAACCAAACAAGAAGTTGAGAACACCGACAACAGTAACATGTACAAAAAATAGCATTACAAAGAAATACATTTATTTCTCATATTCATCACAAAAAAAACATATTTTTATAAAAAAATATGTAACATTAAAAACAATCCAACAAGATCACCAAAAATATATAACATTAAAAAGAAGGAAATATTTTTTTGTCATGTTCATCACAAAAAAACATATTTTTGTAAAAAAAAAATATAACATTAAAAACAATCTTACCAAAAATATATAAAGGTAAAAAAAATAATATTATTTTTTCTCATATTCATCAAAAATATCATATTTTTATAAAAACAAAACGTAATTTTATTAAAAACCAATTTTTTTTTAAGAACCCGAAAATCGAACCAAAGAATACATAAACTTTAGAGTCAAAATCAACCCCAAATCTTTCGTTTTTTGAACAAAGTTGCATGGGGATATGATAGATACTTCAAATAAGATTCAAATGCCTCGAATTTCATGAAGATCCATTCACTATTGAGATCTTTCTTCAAAAAATTGGGGATTTTTCACTTCACGAAAATTTCAGGAATAAAACGCAGCAAAAAACAATCGATATAAAAACATTTCATCAATAGTAAATCAAAATAACTAGATTATTTGATAGATGAGGCCTTCATGATCAAATTTCACTGATCAATTCGATAAAAATCGATCAACTGATCGATCAAAAATCAATTTGTTTGGGTAAAAAACAGTTCTTCTAGCAGCAGTACGTCGGGCCCAAAAAAACCTCAAATCTTCACTGTTTTGGAAAAATTGAAACATGTAAACTTTGAATCCTTTAACAATGAATCAAAGCCCTCCCATTTTATGAAAATATATGAGGTATTGACGCTGCATTTGATAGAATGGCGGAAATTTTTAATTTTCAAGAATCCCCATTTCAATCCGCCAAGAATTCTTGGGTTTTCGACTTTTGATTCAATAATCGATGATTTATAGAAAATTACCGGTGTATAACATCAATAATTGACTAAAAAAAATAAAAAAACCAGAAAATAGAATAAAAGAAAGACGCAAAAGTTTTATTCACGGGTTCTCAGAAAAATAACGGGGCGTGTGTCAAATAACGGTGGTTATTTGGTGCGTTGAAAACGACGTTATCTGGCGCAATAAAACGGTGAACCGGTTCGGTTAGGAAAAACTGGCAGGTTTTGATGTCAGGTTTTTTTGAAGAACGGCTTCTATTCATCACGACCACAAAACCGGCCTTAACCGGAGTCAGTACCTTGCCGGTACCGATATAACCGGGCGGTTTAGGTTCGGACCTAGCACTGGTGGCAACAAGCTGGGCCTAACATTGGCTCTCGCCCAACCCTATTCCCCTAAGGGCTTGCCTTGGTCCTATATGAGTCGGGCCTTGGCCGGGATAAATAAAAATAAATAAAAACAAAAGAAAAATATTGAAAACTCCCTAAAATATACTTTTAGATACTCTACCACCACCCTAAACTTTTCTCACTTATTTTTCTCAAAAACTATATTTTCTAACTAATACCCCCCAACCTAAAAAAAATAGAAATAAAGACAAAATTACCCCCTCCCCCCCTTCCCTTTTTAACTTATACGTTAAAAAGGGCGTTTGCGTAGGCAATCCGGCGTTTGTGTTGGCAGTCCGGCATTTGCATAGGCAGTTTGGCATTTTGTGACTATCGATTTGACGTTTGCTTAGGCAGTCTGGCATTTTGTGGGCACGGTCCGAAGTTGTGCGTACTATAATAAAATCAGTCCAGCATTTTGATGCAGTTGTTCGGCAATATATGTGTGCGGTCTGCGATATGATTACTGTAATTTGGGCAGTAATTTATATATTAGAATGGGGCCAGTTCAGTGTTTGCAATGTGCAGTCCGCAGGTGTTCTTGGAATGATGTTAAGTCCGACGTTTCACAGCTTCGCTACGGCGTTATGGTCGATCCATCCGGCACTAGGAGGATGCAGTCTGGCAGTATCTTACTCGCGGTCCGGCATTATTGCTTTGGTGATTTTACTACTGGAGACGTAAGTCCGGCGTTTCATGGTCTCGGTCCAACGTTTTAGATTCATGAGTAGGGTGGTCCAACGTTAGTAGTCTACGGTCCGACGTATCACTGTCTAAATAGGCAGTTCGAAATTGTAGAAATGCAGTCCGGCATATGTCGTAAGTCCGGAAAATAACAACCGTAGTCCGGCGAAAGTATTATTGGGGTATGTTCAAATGATTTGTTTGTACGGTGAAGGTACGGGAAGGGTTATTTTTGTCACAAAATATATTACTTTTTGAGTTGGGGGTATTAGTTAGAAAAGATTGTTTTTGAGAAAAAAAAACGAGAAAAGTTTAGGGTGGAGATAGAGTGTTTAGAAAGTATATTTGAGGGCTTTCAACAATTTTTTCTAAAATCAAAATAAAAAAAAAGATAAAAAAATAGCTGAATCGGGCCGCCCAATCTTAGCTCTGGCCCTTCAACTCTCAAGCCATGTTTTGTTGCCCAGTTTTTAGGACGGGGCAGGCCGCTCGGTCCATTGCTACCCCTTGTGTACAGGTCTGCCCTAACCACTACTTCTAGAGATCCAATTTCACGATCAGAGAGGAAATAGATTTCCAAGCCTTCATGGGAGCTTCCAGCATGAGAAATACATTTTCTGACATGTTTTGAGGTGTGACTTAACTTATGAGAAGACCAGTACCTTAAGATCACTGCGCCCATTTTTTATTGCTCAAGTACCCAAAAAGAATTACTAAAATATTTCCATATTTCTCACAAAAATAAGGGTGTAGTTTGCATATGGTTGTAAACTTAAACCATCAAAGTAAGTAAGGTGCACCTTCAAACTTTGTCATGAGATGTGTCAAAAATTAAGCTGGTGTAAGAATCTATTATTATCTCTAATTTTAAAAATTTGAACTTCAAAAGGGGTTCAACACAAGTATATCTATAAACGCATGGAAGTCTTGAAAATGAACAATCCAGATAATGTGTTGCAAGATGTACTATATTAAAACTTGTAATCCTTTTTTTTTCTCCATATATATATACATCTCAATATCAAGATGATCAATTAGATGTTTTTCCAACATAAAGAAAAACTTTTTTGAAAGATTTTAGAGGTGCATCTTAATTCTATATTTTTTAGTGTCAAAACTTTATATAAACTTTTCCTCAAAAATAATGCACATCAAGGTTTATTATGTGTTCTTACCTGTTGAACAGGGCCCACCTAATAGATTATGGGCAATATGGAACCAGTGATCACAAAAGAATGCTAATCCCCAACATAATTGGAGAGGGTTTAAACAAATTAATTCCTCGCTTATGAATCCAATCTTTTTCCACCTTATGCCAAGAAGATAACCCCAAAGTGCTTTATGTGTGGGATGGAATGCGGGCCAGCTATTTTATGCTATTCAATTTTGTCCAATTTAGTTAGATAGTGCAGATTAGATCATGTTTCTATTTGCGGCTATAATCTTCATTCTCAAAATTTCAGATAAAAAATCTTCCTTTGAGTTAGTCTCTGCCCATGGGAGTAAGAGTATAGTATGCTCTAAAGGAGCATAGTATACTTAAATATATGTTCCTAAGAGTACAGTATGCTCTAAAGGAGCATGGTATACTTCTCCAGTTTTTCGCTCGCGCTGAGCCACCCCTCGCTCGGCACCGTCTCGGTTCGGCGGCTTGCACAGTTCAACGCGATCCTCTCTCTCTTTCTCTGCGTCGTGATATCTATGCCCTTCTCTTCTTTTTTTCAGAATCTTTGCCGGAATTCGTAACATTTGCTGGAATATTTGGAATTTTGGCCGGACCTTTGAAATCTTGCTGGAATTTGTATTGGACTTCTAGTTATAAAAGAAATTATCCGTGGAAAGATGTACTCTTTCTTCTAAATTATATCTGGCGTTTCATTGTTATCAGAGTTTTTGTTTAACTGGAGATTCTCGGTTGATTTTATTGATTTCCACAGCGGTTACACCAGGTGAGTCTCTATTTCATCTGTTTTCCTGATGTTTTCTAAACATTAAATTTTTCTGTTATGGTTTGAAGGGTTCCTGTTTATGATAATGCATTTGCGATTAGTGCATGGATTCATTTTTTTTCTATCCGATAATGGCAAATCCATTCTCATAAAATAGAGACGCTGCCCATGGCTCTGTTAATTCGATGGCTTGCCTTTTTTGTGCTAGTTGGATATTTCTTTTCCCCCAACTCTTTTAGGGTTATCGTTATTGTAATTATGAATAATTTTTTGTTCAAATATGAAACCTTTTTTTTAATATATATATCAGGGCAAAACATCGCTTTGAACTTAGTATATTGTTATTGCTTTGTTGGATAATTGGAAAGAGTTGTTTAGGGAATTAACTTGTCAGGTCAGTTAAGTTTTACTGTCAATTGAAGTTTTGACAATTTTGAACCTTGTGTAATTTCTGGGTTATTTGACCTTCTTCTGGTTTTCTGGTTGGGTATTTAGTGTGCCATGTGCATTTACTTTTCCTTGAGGAATTTTGGAGGCCAAGGGGTCTCCTTTATTGTTCATGAGTGGCAAATTTTTCATTTTTGAATGTTGATTCAGCAGATTCACCTAAGCTTTTCTAATCCATGATCATGTTTCTTTGATATTCACCATTGTTGGTTTTGGACTAATCTTCTATGGAAATTGCATGCTATGCATGAATGATTTTTCATTGCAATGATTTACTTGTAGCCACGAGTTTTTTTCCTTGCCTTTAGCTGAAGTTTTCTGATTCATGCACATGCCATATATTGAACCTGAGAAATCATTTGTGCCGGTTTCCTTATGATACTGTTGCTTTCTCTAATGGGTGATTGATACCCAAGTAACTGTGACTCTTGTTGCTTCATGTATTTTGCTATATATTTACTTATTCTTGTCCATTTCTTCTTGTATGGTATGTATGCTTTGTTCACAAATTCTTTCTTCCAGTAATTCAATTGGTACTGGCAATAGATTCCAATATTCTTTTCGGTCCTGTACAACTAATATTCAGTGACCAAAGGATATTGCTTTTCAAAACATGATTAATAGGGTTGATGATGACTTTTTGCTTTTATAGAACTTAAATGCACCAGTTGCAACTTCCCTCCGGTGCACTTAATATTTAATAGAGAACAACCGGTGGTTGTGTTCTAAACGATCTGCCCTCACTCGATTTCCCGAAACCACTGTAGTAAAGCATTTTCTGGATGACTCCATAGCCATGGAATGGTTGATGCTTTATGTGGTGCCACTGGTGAGAGTAGTGTAAACAAGCTTGTACCCACAACTGTGAATGGTGTAGCCAGAGTCGAGGCCATTGACAGGGGCTCTGGTTCCATGTCTTTCATCTTCTATTCCTCCAATGGGTTTATGGTTTTTTTCTATGATTTTCCTTCACTACGTGTGTTTGAATGGGCTGATTTCTTAGTGCTTGCATTTTCAATTATGTATGTTTAAACTATTACAGGTTATTGTTGAATGGCATATATTTTTGAATTGTGAATGATGTATATTGTTTAGGTTGGGATATGGATGCATCAGTGGTGAATATAAGTAGTGCTTAAGTTATTATAGAAAAATAATATTGTACCTCACTTCAATTGATATTGTATTCCAAAAAATAATATTCTACAAATTAATAAAAAATAAAAAATATCTATGTCTCAATTTTAACATTTACATCTTGCCTATTACTTCGCGTGTTTGATAATAGGAAGTGGCTTCTGGAAATTGAGAACTTCTCAACTTTCGTGTTTGATAAAAACTGAGAACTCCAAATAAAAGCTTTAGTTTACTGTTCATCTTCCTACACCCTTTTGTAAAAAAAGTTCCGACCCAAAGGTCGGATCCTAAAATACAAAGTGCGTAACTTCCTCCCCTTCGATAACCCTAGCCTCTTTTCTCTTCTTCGTCCCTGAGCACCCCTCTCTTCACCGCTGAGCACCCCTCTCTTCGCAGCTTCCCATCTTTGCTGTTGAGAAACCTAGACATACAAAGTAATGCTTCCCCCATTAAATGCCCACGCTCCTCTCTCTCAAAAATCTCTCTTTCTCTCTCATGGTTTCCATTTGCTCACACCGCTTGTGCCAGAAGAAGCTTGCTCCAGTGACTAAGTTTTTATGTTTCCTCCATTAAGATCACTGTAAGAACTCTCTCTCTCTCTTATTTTGCTTGCTCTGTTTTTGTGTTTTGTTTTATCCGTCTGCCTTAGTTTTTGCCTAGAAATTCTGGTTTCTCAATTGTGTTTTTTTTGATGGATTTCAGCACTTTCCGTGCATGTTCTGCAATATAGAGTGCTGACCTGGAATTTTGTCTTTGGCATTTTAGGGCTCTTGAGGTTTTATGCCCTTTGGTGGCAAAGTGATTGCTTTCCTGCTTTGTTAATTTCTTATTTTTATGTGAGTTAATCATCTTGCTTCTCATGTTGCTTTGAAATTTTTGGTTATAATTGTGTGTTTTTGAACTAATTTGATTGTTTCACTGTGTAATTTCCTTGCCAGGCCTCATTTTCTTCCAATACTTGGATTTTTTGTTTTTTTTGTTTACACTTTCTTTTTTTTTTTACCAATTCCTTGGTTCGCTTCAAATTGGGTAAAAAATGGGTGAGAAAATACGTTCATGGAAGGAGAACCTAGCTTCTTTCAATTTTTATTCTTAATTTTGATGAAACTGCTCAATTAATAAAGAAAAGGGTTTTTTATGTTTGGATTCCTTCTGTGTATCTTTATACAAAATCATTTCAAGGTTTATTTAGTGAAATTTAAGTCCAATTATCATTTAAACAAATGGTTTGTACACAAGAAAGTCAGAAATGTGATTTCTTCAACTATGATATGGCCTGATTGATTCAGTGGAATTTGTTCCAAAACATGGCTACTATATGACGGTTTTGGCCTGCCTATAACTAAAACAAAGCAAAACAATTGATATCCATTTTAAAGCTTATTTAGACTAATCACATTCATATCTATCTAGTTCCATGACATTGGAATTGATTTTTTTTCATTGGAATCTAGTCTGTGAAAAGCTCATTTTCACAGAAGAAAGGCTATAGTCATCGCATGCATCTTGGTGGCCAAAAATTGATGCCACCTGACTTTTTTGTCTTGATGCATATAGGTCACTTAGACCATCTAATTAGTGGTATCTTTTTGGATTTTAGATTTTCTGAGGTTCTTTACCTACATTTCATAGTTCATAGGGTTTGATAGTAAAATTATTGTATTATTGTTCCATTACATTCTTGCATCTAGTGTTTTTTTATTCATTAATTTCTTTTAATGTTAATTTCTTGAGATGGTATGTACCCCGTTCATGTTGGAAGAATGGTACTTGTGGTTGAATTCTGCATTGGGGTGTTTGTTTTTATATTGTTCATGTGTATGATGATTTTTGTGCAATTGCGCGCATGATGAATTGGTAAGGACTATAGGCCGCTTTGGAAACCAATATGCATTTTTATCATGTGGTGTTAGTGGTGGACATATGAAAAATGTAACTCTTGCCAATGGGATAAAAACCAGTCTTTTCTTTAATCCAATACAGATACCCAGTTCTTCTTTAACTTCCCAGGAGGTTATCAAACACAGAAACCATGAACTTCTTAACTTCCCAGGAGGTTATCAAACACAGAAACCAGGTACTTCTTAACTTCCCAAGAGGTTATCAAACACAGAAACCAGTCACAGTTCTTCAGGAACTTCAAATTTACAGTTCAAGAACTTGCTTCCAGTTATCAAACAGAGCTAATCCAATACAGATACCCAATTCTTCTTTAACTTCCTAGGAGGTTATCAAACACAGAAACCAGGAACTTCTTAACTTTTAACTTCGCAGGTGGTTATCAAACACAGAAACCAGGAAGTTCTTAACTTCCCAAGAGGTTATCAAACACAGAAACCAGTAACTTCTTAACTTCCCAGGGATCATAGCAAACACAGAAACCAGGAACTTCTTCAGGAACTTCTAATTTATAACTCTTCAGTAACTTCCAATTTTCAGTTCATGTTCTTGCTTCCAGTTATCAAACAGGCCCTCAACTACAGGAACGCTCTCTCTCTAAACTAAAAGCCATCAGCCCAGGTTTTTCTTGTCTCTCTAAAACCCCGAACTCTCTTTCTCTCTCTCTAAACCCATAGACAACTCTCTTTGGTTTTGAAGGGCTTTAACGTTTAAGCCGTGGCTAATTCGACGTTTGGTTCCAGTTTGATATAGAGAGAAAAGGCTCACTTCTAAACTCGAGAGGTCTGCTCTCGAGCTAGGGTTTATCCAAACTAACAAAAAACTATGCGATTCTTTGAGCTTCTGGATAAATTTTGTAAATTTTGTAATTTTTTTCTATAGCAATTTGGAAACTGAATCAGGCAATTGAAAGACAACTGCTTTTTCTTATTTCATTTGATTTTGATTTACTTCTTTTTTGTCTTTCGCTTTTGGAGTTATTGAGGAGGAAAGTTCGAGTTATCAAGGGGGTTTATTTTCTATGAGAAATGCCTTTTTATTTCTGTTTTTTAGGGAATTCCAGAAATTAAGAAAGTGGAACCTAAGAGAGGTCCACACAAAATATGTCTACGCATTTAGCAATTTCACTGAAATATAATGATTGATTTTTTGTGGATATTTTTTTCTTGAGTTTTTTTATTGAACTTTTACCTGTCCATTGTATTCTCTTGGCATATGATCGTAATTGCTTTAGTTAAGTGTAACAACAATACCGTATTCTTTCTTTATGGATACTGTATCATAGATTCGTTTTGAAAGATTGGCCTTTCAGATTTTTAATATCTGCTTCTGCGATTTTTTTAAGGTTGGAGAGAAGCTTCTTCATCAGTGTAATTTTCTGAGATTCATCATATAAGCAATGGGTAGGGGCACAAAGAATCAGAAGATGGCCTCGAAAAAAGAAATAGGCTCCAAAAGACACAGAAGAGGCTATCAAATTGAAGTCCAGGACTTCTCAGAGAGAGACATGGATGATGAAATCGATGCCTGTACGTTGTATTTAAATTTCTAGTTTATAGTGCATCTTTTTTTTTTTTGGGTACTTATTTTGTGGTGCATCTTCGGACTTGAAAAACTAAGAACCCAAGTTTGTGGGTTTATTTTGAGAATGAAAGGACATTGTGGTGAAATATATGATAAATGCTGTTAATTATATATGAAGAAAGATGCATGCTCTTACCATGAAGATAATTTTTGCTTATGCTGAATCAGTCCTTCCTTGAGTTATTGGAGTGCAAGCTTTTGGGGTTCCCTTGAAAAAGAGTTTATGTGACTATTTACTACCGTGAGTGGTTTGTTGAAATTTTGTTTGTTGAAGTATTCCTTGTGTGCCATTTTTGTACCTTGTATGTTTCCTTCCCTTTATTGGCAATTAGAAGGAAAAAACAGAGACTCATTAGAGCTTTTGGTAGAGATTTTTCCCCTAGAAAGACAACGTTGCAACTGTAATATGCTTCTTTGTGGTCTTTGCTAGAATTTAGTTGCATACTCAGTGAGTTGCCAATGTAACAAGCTGCGAATTACATTGTCACAAGGTAGCATTTCTGTATTTGCACTCCGAAGTGCGAAGTTAATGCATAAACAAATGTCTTGAAACTCCAAAGTATCTTCTGGAGATATTTATGGTTTCATATCCTGTCCATACCTAAGTTATTAACTTTTGAAATGGTGTAGATTTTGTCTTTATCAATGAGAAAATGGAAGTTACCCGTGGTCTCTTTTTTTTGGTCCCTTCTCCTAGATATGACTTTATATTAGGAGTTTATATGTTACACATCTGTTAGGGGGACTGGTTCTAATTCACCGATTCTATCTCTTAGCAGATGTTCTTTCAATTTGTTTATATCACAATCTTTGATGTTTTTGTATGCATTCTTTAACAATAGAAGTCAATTATTAACTTCGTATGGAGTCAATAAACAATATGAGTAGTTGGGGCTTGGTTTTCGCGGGATGGGGAAAACCCTCTTTCGAACAACCACAAGGGCCTACTCGCTTTTGGTGTGCGCGTGTGCCCTTTAGCGCGGATAGGAACCAACAATGAGAGAGATTTTAATCAACAAAGAAGCATTTAGACACCTACCTTGTCGTTTGGGGGATACACCCGGGTAGTCGCCGTCTTAGAACAATTACGAAACCTCCGGCTTTTCAGCAGCACGGTTTGGATGCGGACCCTCCTCGAACTCAACACATCATCTTGGTTCTTTATCTCAAAATTGCTATGGGAATTCAAATAAAAGATACTCCTCTTTAATGGTATGATTGAGTGGGGTGGCTGGCAAATAGAGGATGAAGAAAGAAAGGTGATGGAAGCTCTTTACCTCTCAAGTGTTATGAGACTTGGTGATTAGAGCACTCAAAGAGTTAGAACTCTATGGAATGTTGACTCAGGATGACCCCACCCGAGTGAGCGAGGGCAAGAGCATCTATATCTCTCGCAACTCAACTTGACTGTACGGAGCGGAGGTTAGAGCAGCAATCTAAGAGTTAACACTCTTAAAACGGCCCAAAACGGCACAAAGTCAAACACACGAAGGATGGAAGAAGCTATCAACACAAAGGGATAGAATTGGGTGAGGGGTTGTGAAGATTAAAGTTATGAGTGTATGTAACTAAGGATGGGCTTGGTAAGGCAAAATACAAGAGAGGAAACCGGGTTCACAATAAAGTGCGGCTTCGGGTCTGAATGCAAGTAAGGGAGGTGGAAGGGCAAGAAGGCAAAGGGACAAGTGGGAGAAGGTGTCATGTCTGCACTAGGATGTGGCTCCGGGTTCAAAGGCAAGTGAAAGAAGGGGTAGGAAGACAAGCAAGCAAGAAAGGGGAGTCCGCTCTCAGGCGCGGCTTTGTGTTTTAGGATGAATAAGGGAGAGATTAATGTGAGAAGGGTGCACTGGGTCCGCACACAGGTGTGGCCTTAGGCTTTGGAATGAGAGAGGCAACAAAGGGGGGAAGAGATGTGGGGGCAAAGAGCCGGGGCCGTGGCCAAGTGCAGCCTTGGGGTACGCGCAACAGGGGGAAAGAAGAAAGGCAAAGAGAGAAGGGCGAACGGGCAGAGCTGGGGCCACTGGTAGGTGCAGCCTTGGGCGTCTGTGTGCAACAAGGGGGAAGAGAGAGGAAGAAGAGAGAGAAAGAAGACTGAACAAATTTTTGAGCTTGGGCGCAGGAAAGGAAGTGTAGAGAGAGAAAGAAAGAAGAAAGAGAAAAGGGGAGAGGAGAGAGAATGGGCTTGGGGTGTGTCCTAGCCTTGGTGCACCCCCATAGGCCTTCTTGCATGCACATGAGAGAGAGGGGTTAGGTTTGGGTCAAGGTTAGGATGTGGTGTATGGACTAGGGATGTAGGCTAGGGTGTATGATGTAGTGTAGGGTGTAGTGTGTGGTCTAGGATCTTGGGTGTAGTGTATGGTCTAGGGACTATGGTGTAGGGGTATTTTCTCTCGCCACCAAAGTTTCTCTCTCCTCTCAACTTGACAAAGAACTTAGAAGCAATGGAAAAAAAGAAGAAGCTAAAACTCACTCGTCAATGCTCGAGTTTCATTCAAAATGGTCAAGCCCTCTTACAAATGACTTAAGCTTACTTATTTAGAGCAACCACAAAACAAGGGTGGAATGCTCAAAACTAAGCCAAATTGTGAAAAATTACATGTTAAATGAATCAAAATAAAATCCCGTTTTTGGACCAAATGACTAAAATACCCCTTAATTCTTTTGAGAAAATGACAAAACGATCCCTCCATGAGGGACCTCTTGCCATTGCTAGACTTCAGGAGTTTTTTCGGACACTTGCGACGGTAATTCGGGCGATCAATGGTCGTAGAATTGATGCTTGATCTATCATGAACATTTTGAGGCCCTTTGATCATCTTGAAACGGATTTTTCATGAAGAACCAAAAATCCAGCCAAGTCCATAAACTTCGACCACCAATCCGGTGCGATCCATGACGTTCCGAATCCTCATTTTGATCACAAATTGAAGAGGACATTGTCACAATCATTTTGCACTAAATTTTGTCAGATTTGGTTTCCGTTTAAGCATATTCCAAATTTGGGAAGTCGTCGGAAATGGGATTCCGGCGACCAAAAAATCTTGCCTTTTTCAACCTTGAAATTCGCACTATCCGGCCTCCAATTATGAGCAAAAAGCATACCAAATTGAAGACCCTCGCGATAGGGTCGCAACGGACCTATATTTGCAACGATCTGACATCGAGATCTCGAGTTATGACTTCACGAAGTTTTGGATGTCTTCTTGTATAAAATCTGATTTTTCAGCTTTCGAGTTCATCTTCTCTCTAGAAATTCTCTCATTTCGGGCCATGTCATGACACGTGCCATATGTCAAAACGATCGGGTCGTCGAGAATTAGCATGTTTTAAATTTGAGCTTGTTTCGACTAAAAACGAGCAAGTTATGAGCATTTGAAAATCATCTCGAAATGGGGAGACACAGTTTCCATAGTTCATCGAGGCTGCACCACAATAGTTGAAAACCCACTTTTTTATGGTAAGTTGGGCCTAGAATGGTCCTGGAAGGCCTGATTGAGCCCAAATTTGGTGCTTAAGGGTTTTGCGACGTTTCGGATCTAATGGCGGTGGTCTGGTACTGTTTTGAGACCCTGAAAATAGGGCTGTAGTTATAAGGTTATTTTTCAGCATGATAGGCACTGAATTTCAGAACCGAGTTTCGACCTGATCATATTAAAACTTATCGGAATGTAACGTAGCTTTGTGAGCGTCCTTTGGGCATCCCAAATTATCCTATTCATGCCTTTTGAAGCTGTTTCAGCACTCCTTCAGAGGTTGCCCAGTTTTAGCCTTATTTTGCAGTATTCCCATGGTCTGGCGGTGTCTTGGCTACCTGCAGGATCATGTTGTTATTGGCTCTCTTCTTATTCATACCGAGGATACAAGTACGGCAAAAATGACATTAAACAATGAGCCCTCTATTTTTCTATTAATGTGGTGTCTGCAATCTTAAATTTCATAGCCTAATTGATCTCAAAAAGACAAACTGCTAAATGGGTCTCTCTCTTTCTCTCTCTTTCTCACATTTGCACAAACGCACACACTCTCTCTCTCTCTCTTATATCATCAGGATTGGAACTTTTGATGCATGCTTTGTTATATGTTATATATGTTAAATACTTACATTGTAAAATAATGATATGTTTGTTGTTTGCAGTTCATAAGCAAAGGGATGTGATTCCACTTGATGTAAATGACGATGCTGGTAAGTTTCTATTATTGCAATTTTTAGGTATGTAGGATATGATCTTTGTTGTATTGAAACTTTTCTTTGGATTCCAGGTATCTCTGATGATGACATGGAGCAGCCAATTTTTGATCTTGAGGTTAGAGAGAATCAAATGCAGTCTATCTGGGATTTTATTTTTTTTGTTTAAGTTTTATACTACTTTTTTTTGTTTCTTGATACCAATACATCTATTTTATTCATTACTTTCTGTTTAATTAATTTGAGATGCCTGTATCTCAAATTCCTTCTACTGATTTTGATTGGCTAACAGGATGAAATTGAAGTTGACGATGATGACGATGACGATGATGACCAGCTTCCCAGTCTTGCTCGTAAAAGTATGGAAATCAGAGTAGAAACTTCATGCTCCATTTTCTCTTTATCGCAAAAAATAATCATTCAAGAGAATTGGTGTTGGTGTTAAGATATTTTGCTTCCTCTAGATGGAGTGGAATTTGATGCTAGTTGGACTAGGGTGACCTGAGTTCTATACTTATTCTTTTCTGAACTGTCAAAAATATCACAAATACATGAAAAATCGATGCTTTTGAGGAAATCTATTTTGAGAATCTGTATCATATTTTTGTGAATTTGGATGTAGACTAACTTGTCTGTTCTCACATGAAGAACTGCCAAAGGCATTGCATTTTCTAGAGGAGTAATCAATATGATGAAGTTTATGTCCACATTTGTCCTGTATAAGGCTCATATAGTCATGTTTTCGACTAATCATTTTGTTCATGAACATGTACATGGACATTTCTTATTTCATGCAAGGGTATTAATACGTACTGGGGGAAATGGTGCTCAAACTGAACCAGCTCCCTATAGGGACAGTTGTTGGAATCAGAAATCCACCCATTAAGTTCTTGTGTTTGAATGGTAAAAGTCGTTTGATCTCAAAAAATCAACTTTATTGCTTTCCTTTGGTGATGTGACAGATGAGTGATAAACACTACTCTAGTTGACAGTGAATTTAAAGGGCTCCTTTTAGAGGCCTGGAAAAGCTATCGATTTTTAGATATGGGGAGTTGATAGTGAGGTAAACCCCTGGATGGGGCTCCTATTCTTGTGCTATCCACAAGGTTTGGATCTTTAGACTCTTTTAAGTTTTTGCTATATTGAGAGGGCTTTGAACTACACATTAGGGTTTTAGTGTGGAGTATACATTGACTGAAGTTTCCTGTTTCCCAGTTTGCTATAGATTTTCTTCTCCATTTTATCCTTGTGGAAGAATATAGCTTTTGTTCTCTCTCTCTCTCTCTCTCTCTCTCTCTTTCTGTTATGATGGATGTTGAGACGTAATAGGTTAGGATGTTTCATAGGGTCCCTCTTATGGAGCTGGAGGCTCCAACAATAATGCCACTTAGTATCAGAAAAGTGTTGGGTCTGAAAATCACTAGGGGTATAAGATTAATAAGATTAGTGAAGATTACTTTGTGGTTGTGGTGTCTTATCAGCGTGATGGGCTACAGTTTCTTTCTTTCGTTGGGGTTGATTTAAAGAGAAAGAATGTGCAAATAAAAAGATCAGTGCAGTAAACCACATTACTAGGTAGATACCCACCTTCTCACACTTTCACAGTCGACAGCCATGTATGCAGTCTGTCCGCTACAAACTTTTGCCCTGGACAACTATGACAAAACTCTCATCATCGTCAAAGCCTTTTTTCGACTAAATTGGGATCGGCTATACGAATTCTGGTCCGCCATTCTGCTCTATTAAGGGCCATACCCCCATTAAGGCCATAGGTTCACATATTCTCACCTTTTGGGCCTACCCCTTGCCCTTGCCCTTGCCCTTGCCCTTGCCCTTTTTGAGCCTTCCACTTGAACTAACTTTGAAGTATAACAAAACTCTGAAGTACAAAATTTTGTAGTCAATCTTTCATCTCTCTAAAGGTTCTGTCTAGCTTCCAAGAAAAGGGGAACTCCTGCCTAATCTCTCTGATGACATTTAGGGAGTTTCCCTTGTGGATGCATGGTCTCATAGTGCCACATGTTGGGATATGAACCCCCCACTGTGATGATGTTTTTCGTGTTCCATGTGGAGTCTCTGTTACCTCATGTACCGACATGATATTCAAATACCTTCCAGTCACTAATAACTATCACAAGCACCATTCCAGAACCTGTTTGGCTTAGGCTGCCTTGAGAATAATTGATGAAATTAATCTCGGAGCAAGCCCTTCTTTTCTTAGATGAAAACTGCTGATTAATCTGACCCACAAGTCCAGAAGGTCGATCGGCTTTACCTTGTATCTTCCCAAGAGTTCAAAAAAGTAGCACCACAGAAGCAGCAATATGGGGGGAAAAAAGAGGAGAGGTTTGAGGAATGGCGAGGAAGCTTTAGTGAGTGTTACCTATTCCTTTACATTGTAGTTGGGTATATTGATTCTCATTTTCATTGATGGCTCCGTCAGCTTACTGTCTTGTTCGAATTTTTCTCTTGATATGCTGTCTGAAACCTGCATATGAATTTCTTCTTTCTTTCTGTTTTTTCCTTCAAATTGGATCATAATTCCTGGCTGTCCTAATTGCAATTGTTTATGTTCTTTTTGATGTGAAGGTGCAGGGGACCAAAAAATACTTTTGAATGTAACTGTTATGTTGAACTAATTGTTCTTTATCTACAGTTAAAAAACAAGCAAAATATTTAAAGCAAAAGAGTGGTGGGGTTGTTGATGAGATGCAAGATGATTCT